AGAGGGAGGGGCCTGTGGCGGGTGGGGGAGAGAGGGGAAATGAAGGGGCCAGTGTGGGAAGGAGGAGAAGGGCGGATCAGGATCTTTTCTCCTCTCAGTAACAGGCGTGTGTCCATCCATCTCTCTGCCCGTCTGTCTCCCCCTCCCCCGCCCTTGTCCAGGTGGTGACGGCGCTGGGCAGCACCTGGCACCCTGAGCACTTTGTCTGCACCCACTGCCAGACGGAGATGGGCGGCAGCAACTTCTTTGAGAAGGACGGCGCCCCCTACTGCGAGAAGAGGATCTTTTCTCCTCTCAGTAACAGGCGTGTGTCCATCCATCTCTCTGCCCGTCTGTCTCCCCCTCCCCCGCCCTTGTCCAGGTGGTGACGGCGCTGGGCAGCACCTGGCACCCTGAGCACTTTGTCTGCACCCACTGCCAGACGGAGATGGGCGGCAGCAACTTCTTTGAGAAGGACGGCGCCCCCTACTGCGAGAAGGATTACTTCCAGCTGTTCTCGCCCCGCTGCGGCCTCTGCAATGAGCCCATCCTGGATGTGAGTTGGCCACGCAGCGCCCATTGGGTGCCATTCCCTCACGGCCTAGTGTGACACAGGAGAATCCAGCACTGCACAATGCAGTGCGAGGCCGTGCAGTGCCAGGAAGTGTTGCGAAACAGGAGAGCACAGTACCGCCCAGTGCAGTGCATTGTAAGAGAGCATAGTGCCGTGCACTATCACAAAGTATGAGAGTGCAGTGCCACACAATGGGATGCAGTGTTAGAGTGCTGTGCAGTACCATGCAGTGTGAGTGTAGGGCATGCAGTGTGAGAGCACAATGCAACACAATTCAGTGCAGTGCCATATAAGGCAGCACATTGCAAGAGCACAACACCGTGTGAGACAGCGCAGTGCCACACAATGCAGTGAAAGCGTGTGACAGAGCTCTGTGCCACAGGGTGCAATGCAGCACTATAGACTGTAGTGCCATGTACTGAGTTATAGTGCTATCGACTAAAATGTAAGCAATGCAGTGACCGAGTGCAGTGCAACATAACGCAATGCCATGCCAAATGTAGTGACTGCATCAGCGCGACCCAACAGCATGTGCAGTGAAGCTGTAGAACGCAGTGCAGAACTATTCAAAGCAGCACAGTGGCCTGCATCATTATGGCATGCAACGTAGGGCTGCAGATTGCAGTGCGATAAAGGCAGTGCATTGCCATAAAACAGGCTAGTACAGATTTCCAGTGCAGTGCTAGAGAAGGCAGAGTGATGCCTCAGAAAGCAGTGCCCGGCAATGCCGTGTGAAGCTCTGGGATGCAGTGGGCTTTGACACTGCGCGACACATCATTACGTGCAACAGTGCAGTGCAGTGCAACAGAGCCAGCCAAGGGAACTAAAGTTGCAGACTGCAAGGCAGGGCTGCCCAGGGCAGTGCATTGCCAGGCCAAGCCACTCCAGAGTGCAGTGGAACCCCCTGCAGGCATGTGGGTTCTTCTGGCCCTGTGTGACAGGACCCTCAGGGCACCGTCCGAAATGGTGGGATTCCTGTGCCCCCTTAACTCTCCAGCCAGGGCTCTCGCTCACAAAGCTACGTGAGTGACAAGCAGCAAACCCCTCCAGGTGCTCTTATCACTCAGCCATCAGCATGTGGAGCCCCCCCCACCTCCCACCTGGGTTGATGGCACAAAAGCTCTACAAGCCGCTCCTGAGTTATAGAGAGAGGCACCAGCCAACCATCCCAACCTCAGCCTTGCACCCCATAAATACACCACCTTACACTGCTCAAGTCTCGCTTGGCCAGGGCAAGCTCATGAATGAGGTGACCGCCCCAAGAAAGTCTCGCAGCCGAGCTTGCTGACCGGCACGGAGAGTCCCCAAGCTCTTCAACCAAAAAGGCACCGTTTCAGGGAAAGTATAAAACAGATCTATTAACTACTGAGAGATCAATGTTCAGGGCTTAGCAGCCACTGGCACAGAAATCAAGGCTGGCTCATGAGAAATAAAGTCACACTGTAAATTCTACAGACTTAGCACGATTTGAATCAAGCTGTTTCTCACCCCTAGTAGATGCTGCAGGCAGCTCCCGGTCCTTAATACATGGGCTAGATTCCCTTTCCGGCCTGGGACCAATCTCCCCAGTCTCACGTCTTTGTCTTCCAGAGGCTCTTCCAAGTGTTGAGACAGGAGAGGAGGCCGAGTGAGGATGTTACTGAAAAAACTTTTAAAACAATGAATAGTCCTGAAGCACCTCAGAGACTAACAAAACATGGAGGCTACGTCTACACTGGCATGATTTTCCGAAAATGCTTTTAACGGAAAAGTTTTCCTTTAAAAGCATTTTCGGAAAAGCACGTCTAGATTGGCAGGATGCTTTTCCGCAAACGCACTTTTTGCGGAAAAGCGTCCGTGGCCAATCTAGACGCGGGTTTCCGCAAAAAAGCCCCGATCACCATTTTCGCAATCGGGGCTTTTTTGTGGAAAACAGTACTGTGCTGTTTACACTGGCCCTTTTGCGCAAAAGTCTTTTGGAAAAAGACTTTTGCCCAAACGGGAGCAGCATAGTATTTCCGGAAAAGCACTGACGATCTTACATGAGATCGTCAGTGCTTTTCCGGAAATTCAAGCGGCCAGTGTAGACAGCCGGCAAGTTTTTCCGCAAAATCATGTGATTTTGCGGAAAAACTTGCCAGTCTAGACACAGCCGGAGATGGAATCCTGAGTTTCGTGGGCACAGCTCACTTCTTCAGATGACTGGAGTTTAAGGGGTCCAGTTTTCAAATAAATAGCACAGAGATGGGATGGGGGGAGGGTGCGGAAGAGGAGGAAAAAGAAGGGGGAAAAAAAGGGGAAATAAATTGTCAAGTAGAGTGTCCATGCCGAACGAAGCTGCTAAGAGTACTTAGTACCCACCCTACATAACCTTTGTTTGGTTTTTTATGTCATTAGGATGTGGAATGTAGCCGGCCATCCAGCCAACCCCTTTGTTGAGACTTCAGCTGTAGGAATCAAACTTGTAAATGAAATTAAGTTTTGTAGCTTCCCTGTGCCACTGGCTTTAGAAATTGGTTTGACATAATACGGTGACTTTGAGATCCATTAATGAGAGCCCAGGCAAGTCACTGTCCCTCTTTTATGCTTTCTACCAGCTGCTGGAGAGATCCTTCCTGCGAGGGGGGTTAGACGGCCTTCGTCCTCACGCGCTCTCTCTGAGGAGTCTCTGGGCAGGCCATTGGGAGAGCGGATCCCCATTCATGGGCCAGCCCCACATGTCCATCTGGCCCTGATGTAACGGGGCATTTCCCAACCGCGCACCTAGCAGAACTGCAGCTATAGGGGTAAACCCTCCGCTCCAACAGGCTACCAGCGCTCAGTGGACCAGGGCCTTGGAATGACACCTCACAAAGCACGCTCTGTGCAAAGCCCAGCACAGTCGTATCGCAGCGGTGACTGGGGGAGGGGCGGGCAGCGTGCTTATTTGTGGTACCCAAGTCACACCCTGACTCTGTCCCTCCCAGAAAATGGTGACGGCTCTGGATAAGAACTGGCACCCGGAGCATTTCTGCTGTGTGAAGTGCAGGAGGCCCTTTGGGGAGGAAGGTGAGTGAGCATCCCTGCCCCACTGAGGGTATGTCTACACTACCCCGCTAGTTCGAACTAGCGGGGTAATGTATGCATACCGAACTTGCTAATGAAGCCCGGGATTTGAATTTCCCGGGCTTCATTAGCATAAAGCCGGCTCCGCCATTTTTAAAAGCCGGCTAGTGCGAACCCCGTGCCGCGCGGCTACACGCGGCACGGGCTAGATAGTTCGAACTACGTAGCCATTCCGATCTATCTGTACGCCTCGTTCCACTACAGGCTTACATCAACATAAGTTTTGTCGACAGAATCTGTCGACAAAACTTATGTCGCCATAGAGCGCCCAGACTACATCGCTTTGTCGACAAAGCGATCAGCTTTGTCGACATAGGAGTGTCCAGACTGCGGGACGCTCTGTCGACAGAAGAAGGCACCCGGAAGTGCTTCTGAAAGGTCACAGGTGCCATAAAGCCCTGGCACTGCTGCATGCTCTCTCCAGAGACGCGTGCTTAAAGGGATACTCCTGGATAGCTGTTCCTCTGCTTCTGCTTCTAGCTTGCCAACCTTTACAGGGAAAGCAAAGCTGCTGCAGTTTTCCTGGCTCTGGTTGCCTTGCTTTGTCGGACACCACAGCTGTGTATTATCTGGTTTGTCTGTTTGTTTGTGTGTTTGCTTGTTTGTTTGCTTGGGTTT